TCCAATTCAATAAGAGTCGGAGTACTATTAGTTCTTGATCGTTAAGGGTTAGTTTTACCTTGAACCATGTTTACAGTGATTTTAGTTAGTGAGTGTTATTGAGTTGTGATTAACACTGCGACGCTATTACGTTAGAAATACCCACTATTATGTTCGATCGTGATAGTAAGGATCAAAGGATCAATACATGTCCGAGATAAACGCGGCAGTTAATGTTAACGAGCAAAGTATGTATCTTGAAAACAGCCTCGGGACGATCAATGTACACGAGAAAATAGCAAAGGAAACTCAATGTTAAACGATATTTCAAAAAAATATTGAACTTAAGCAATTTATATACAGTACGTTCAAGACAATATCACACGTAGTTAGAAGACAAGAAATACATTCGAAGGTATTTCTGTCGTTCATTTGGTAAATATAGAAATTTCAACGCAGTTATAGCAGATAAACAGGTCGCGCCCCGAAGTGATCTGTCACTTTTCTGAGGCAGATGATCGGCCATTAATCGTGACATTATCGTATCTTCCCATTGTCCGGAGCTTTCCCCAGATGAGGCGGAGTGGCCCGTTAGTCAACAGGGTAATGGACACTGATAACGTCCACTGCTGTACGTGCTACGTCTTGTTGGCGGCCAAATGTCACATAATGTCCACATGGTATAATGAACAGTTGTAACACACACTGTACCGTTAACGGAATGTTTTGCTGGCGACAAAATTGCACCTTTGTCGAAATATATGGGTGAACACTCGCAAACAACTGTACGTGGTACGTTTGGTTGGCGGTAAAGAGTCAACAGGGTAAAATTCTGTACTGTACATAGCAGTTCGGTTTTCTTGGAGATATACTGCCACAAGACCATGGGAGTAGACAACATCGTACTGAGCACTTCAGAGACTAGTAAAGCTCCCAGTGTACGGTACAACACATAACAAGCATTTCCATAATATGTTCCACTTTCAGTTGGCGCAAATGTAGTAGTTCTCTATTGCGCGTGCGAATCCACACATTCCCACAGCAGACGAACGTCATTGGAATTACTCTAACAAAAAGACGCAACACTTGGTATTAACGCGGATTGAAATTCAGATGTGGTCGGAGCGGCGGCGGAGGACAATGGCGACCTTGAGTGCGCGTCGAATCTTCCTGGAGGCGCGGACGTGCAGAAAGGAAAATAAGGGAAGAGAGGAGAGGAACAGGAGAGCGGGAGATGTGCTGTGAAGGTCACCGTGACATTGCAACGCCGGAGCTGGAGAACTGGGAAACTGGAGAAGAAAGAAGTAACGACGCAGACGTCAATTGCGCTGCGCGAAATAGGCGTGCTATAAATACGTGTTTTAGAACTCCATCAACTCATTTGATGGGTTTTTAAATTTTAAAATCCTAATCACAGGAATATTTGTTGTTACAAAGAGTGACAACAAAATATGTCAAAAGTATACGTAAAAAGAGATAAATTGTATTAAAAAAATACTACACGATTAATATATTCCATAGTATTGTCCATGCTGGATTGTGAAATTCCAATATGCGGCGTATCTCTGCTCACGAGTCAGGAGTAAACAACCACCAATTGACAGGTGCAAAAAGTCACAGCATTTTGGACCCTTATCGGGCCGAAATAAAGTAAACAGGAAAGTCTATAAGTAATGTGGCCGATGAACCAATATGAAAACAAGATTTACAATATGATATGTCTTAATTTGTGATGAGGAAAACACACCTCCTTCATGTTCACTAAAATCAACAAGTAGAAAGAAAAAGGAAGGACCCCTAGTGCAATAAAAGTATAATATAAACGATGATTATGTGATTTTTATATTTATTTTTAAAGATGTTCTAGGTTAAGGGATCCTTGGCTTAGGGCTCCTTGGTTAAGGAACCATGCAACAGAAATTAAACTCTTAAACAAAAACCTACACAAATTCGGATTACATCTTTTACCGAAATACAAAAGAGAAGGATTCCAAGTTAACCCAATGAACAAAACCACTAGGCGATAACCTTAAGGAAACCCTATTCCGATAATCACACCATTCTAAAAGCAAAAACTTAAGAAAAGCTATACATTCTGAACTGAAATCTTATAAAAACGAAGGACTCGATATCCTTAAAACAAAACCCTAAGCGAACTCAAAGGAATTTAGAACACTCAAAACCATCACACAGTTGTTAAATCACTTACCGAAATCAAACAGAGAGGAAGGACTCCACGCGATATCCCTGAAGAACACCATGCCTGGTGTGTTGTAACACTAACACTGACCGGCGAAGGTCGACTGTCGAGCGAAAGTTCGATCCCTAGAGTAGGTAGTGAGGCAGTGAGGGTGTTGAACTGGGGAAGGCCGCGACTAGCGACAACATTGACATTGACTCCCCACCATAGCCACCCCTGGGTGAGGGACCTCTGATGTTTGGAACACCTACCACAACAACAGCACAACAGCTGACCGCTGACTAGGACAAGTGTAGCGGCTGCGGCAGTGGGTGAAGAGAGAAAAATGTGGTGAAAATGCGAATGATCAGATTATCTTGGGTGCATGTAGCTAGGGCAATATACACTTGGAGGCTAAAACATAGATGAAGTAATATTACTTCATCTATGGCTAAAATATCAACTTTATGGCGTTCCTCAGGGATATCGCCTAGGACCTTTCTTCTTTATTTGATTTCGGTGAATGTTAATATCCTATGATTTTTATGTTAGTAGCTTGATACGTACCGGTAACATATCTAACTGTTCCGATTTTTAGAGGAATTTTCTCAAAGTTTATGCAGAAACAATTTACGTTATCCTATATGTTTTATCGGCGCTAGAATGAAAGAAAACTACTTACACGCACAAATTGGTGAGTATATACATTATTTTTGATCGGACAAATTGAAATTTACAGACGAGCACCTAATTTAGAAGAGCAAATAGTTTAAACTCAATAATTCGTAGCAATAACCCTTTAAAATCCACAGAAATATATTTAATGTTTTAAACTCTAAATTGAAATATTTTATTTTCCCATGTACTTTGTTATCCTGAGTGAATACAACCAAGAGCCAAGTTCCGTCTTTACTCCACATATTAATTTCACAGAAGTTCTATCGAGACCGGAGGGACACAACTTTGCAAAACACAACATCCTTTACTCAAAACCTTAATGTTATTACAACTAGATTTCATTCCATAAATCTAAAAAAATAAAGATTTCACTTCCATTCAGACATCACCTCACAAGACAAGAACGAGATCAATTTCCTGTATAACATAAATAAATTAAACTCGATTTCCTGTGACTATTTACCATTAAAATGATTGATGCCTGTACCAACCATTGCAAGGAATATTTTATATTGCTAGTCGAAATTTATAACCTATTTCACATCGGCGTTGAACTGTTTTACAATACAGTGACCACCTTAGTTACTGTATAATGTTGTTGTGTAAAAGGAAATTCACACAACGTGACAGCTGTATAAGCCGCACATTGACAACCGCCATTCACGTGAAACCATTCATGATATTCAGAAAGGTGTAGAAAGAATATTGGCGAACATTCTATGACGACGCAATGTCAAACACAGACTGTAATGTAAGGCAAATACGAAATAGGAAATACATTCCACATGTGGACCGAATTTGTGAGATATGATATTGAATGGTTTCGCCCGAGTTTTATATTTAAATTGTAAATAGTGTACTGGACGTATAAATTGTTAACATAGGTAAAGTTTATGCGGTCTGTAATAAAAAGAGAAAAGCCCCTCCCTTTATTCCTTGCATGGAATATATTTAGCAAAAATTTATAACCTCCACTAAAGGGTACCATATATTTATTCAATAGCTAGAAAAAGTTGACACAAAACAATTAATAGAGCCAGTCCGATGTACAGTTTATATAATTCAAAATCATTGCGATTCTTTGCTTAATCAGCACATACAAAACACTTACGAAATTCCTATTTAAGTCCAATTAGCAACATATTCCAAAAGAAGTGCTGTTCCTTTTGACTAAAACTAGCAAGGACCACAGTATTTCTCAATAATAGGGTAGTCGGGCTTTAATTGGCAATAAAACGCATTGTGAGCTGATAAAGCTAAGGTTTCTAAGGAATAGGGTAGCCGGGCCTGTTGGGAGGGTTGGGCCACTTATGTGTCCGCCCCGTATTTTCGGTACCGTATTTTTGGACGTGGGAATTTCACCCCGGAAGTGCTTTGGCTACCCCTCGCGTCTGTGAAGCATTTGTCGTCAACCCTCTAGATCTCTGTACTTGAGATGTTCTCTCACTCACACACTCTCTCTCTCTCTCACACACACGACATAGCCTTACACCATTGAGCTTCATAGTCAAATTTAAACATTTAAAGTATTCCTGTCTTCCCGCCTACATTACCGACGAGACAAACTAATAATTGATAATTGATAATTTTAAACATAATTTTTTCATTATAGCCGGAAATCGAGTCTGAAGTGCTCTGGTGTGCTAAAACATCAAATGAGGTTTTACGGTTTCCGAATTTTGGCGGTACACATTTTGATCCCCAAATACCATTGAAGGGCCCGGCGGCACGTGGAGAACAAGTAGATAACGCTTATCAAAAACAAGATGGCGTCACAGGAACCATGACTGGCTGGCGGCGTCGAGCTCTCGTGTTAATTAGTGAATGTAAATCAACTCGCACACACACACACACACACACACGTACACGGTCAAGGTGGTGCGAAAATCATCAGTGCGAACCCCGCGGACACGCCATAGTGAATAAATAACAGGGGCGCGGTCTGACTGAATATACACCAGGTTAAATTGTAATCGAGATAAATTTTGAAACATTACCGTTGTCGTGTAGTATTTAAATTAATAAAAAGAAGCGGGGACACCCAAATTAATCCAAATGAATTAAATCATAAAATGTGTGTGATGTGTTGCAAAATATTCCGGAAAAGATCAAATGAAACTTAGAACAAAAGACACAACACACGCGACAAAGTTACAAAACTCACCGCTAGAAACTGAACTGGCAACATCGAACTGGCTGCTCTCATTACCTGTAACAACATGGACTAGAGTTAGTAACGTGTTGCATACAACTTACAGTACAGTAACTAACAAACAAGATAACCTAAAATACTTCTGTTGAACGGCAATCCTCAAAAGGGTCGCAGTTCAGGACTATTAGCCCATACTTTATATTAAATCTAAGAATGCAATTTTCAAGCTTACAGTGAATTTTACGAATCACTACTCATCTTCATCATAACTTATGAAAACAACATTTTTCCTTTACGTCAAATAGCACAATATGTAAACTGATACTACTGAATCGTTGCACTATTTGACGTAGGTGAAGTAAGCCCAGTCTAAACAAGTATTCCAGTAGGCCACAAACGTCAATATTGATGATCACATAGCTAAAATATGAAATGAAATGAAATGAAATGAAAAATGTCTTTATTTAAGAGGCGAAGTTATAATAGGACTAGCAAGTCCTCTCTACCACTTAACCTCTAAAAACATAAATAAACTATCCACTTTATAAGTAAAATTAAATAATCTAAGGTACCATATTATAAAAATGTTGAAATTAAATTAAATTAAATTAAATTAAATTTAAACCCAAAAGTCCATTCACACAAGCCGCCTAATATGGTGTCTAGCGAGACTTGAACTCAAACCTACACCCGCATACGTCCAATACCATTATATCACTCCACCCCAATCAAGTATTAAATGTTATACACACGATATTAGAGTGTAAGGTGCCTAGTAAACCAAGGCATCTCACACTGTCACTTAGATTGTGTCAGCCTTCGCCTCCCACGGTCGCTCCCCGCCCAGTGATGGTCCGCCCGCGTCCACCTCGTCATCCTAGGACCTGCGACTGTTGCGCAAAGTACTTGGCACTCCTCCAATACCATCCTCTACTCTGGGCTACACCTAGTGTATCGTACTTGCTCTAGTCTTCTGGCAATGGCATGGCCCCGTGAGTTACATGTTGGCCGGCTCAGTGACAATTAAGATCACTCAGAGATAACCTTGTATTAACGTACAAAACTTCCTATTGGACTTTTTAAGTATACTGTAAGAAACGCGATAATAGAGTGACCAAATGGAAATTAAGATTTCAGTGGTGTCATAAATTCGAAATGACATTGGCTTAAATATGAGAGGATTTGCCTACAAACTGTCCAGTATTTTCTTTCACACATAACGTACTGAGTTTCCCATAAATTCCAGTACGGTATAAGTTCAAACATAGAGAAGTTTTTCGTTTTATAGAGTAGACGTTTAATATAATTTAAATACAAAACTTTTTGTAAGAAAACTTGCCTACTAAACTATGTCCTCATGAAACGTGGAGCCTCGTTGATATATACTGTTCAAAGTCAGTTCAGATCGTGTAAGAAACCCTCGATAAATAAATTAAACCCACCACAACTTATGTTCACCACACACAAGCCAAAAGCTGAGAAACCACAGCAAAAATCAATATTTATAGGATTTCATCCTTTCAAGAATTAAAACCTCGAATTAAGTCCGCAAAATCCCCAACTATACCAATTGTCAAACCTAATACGAACAATTTATTACAAACATAAAAAACAGAATACAAAACTGTGCAACTGAAATGTGTAAAATGAAGGATTCCGGGGACAATAGTGGGCGACCACCCTGTAATCCCAGGAACTCAAGCAGAGGTCAACGCCCCTGTTAGGGTTGGTCCTGGTTCTCGTTTCCTCCCTTAGTCTTTGTCAGCCTCCGCCGGTGTTGTCTCGTCTCTTCCTCATTTCGTTTGATTGTCACATTTTTTGCCACAGCCCAAGTCTCATTGTCACATTGTGTTTTGCTACCGCCAGGCTCCCGTCTGTCAGGGTAGTTTTTACGCACCGAGCTATTAATATTGTCTTAATTATCACTTGTACGTCGTGAATGGTTCGATAATGGGTCAGGTGTGTGACAAATGGCGAACACCAGTTGCATCCGGCGTTTCAGAGTAGGAAAAAATGGTTTTAATTTGTGTATATTGACAAGTCCCAAAAATGAATGTTGGAAAAGTCTATACGGTTCGTGGGTAACTTTTGAACAGTTTTGGAATTTCGCGGAGAAATAAAAGATAAATATATTATATTGTTACCCAAAGAAACCGAAGAATGGGCTTAAATGGCCCACTAGGAAATATAGTTGAACGAATGTCTACTTTGTTTACAATAGTACATTTTTATCTAATTCTTTTAAATCTCAAAGACGCAGTTAATTAAACTATTTCTGTACTCAATGGCGACGTAAATCATTTTGCGATGAGCAAATAATTGGAAATAATTTTGTTGTCATACACCAACAATTAGTCTTAAAGCTTCGAAACCCACCTGTCAGCAATCTGACGTGATAAACCTATTGAAAACATGCCGCTCGCTGTAATGCCACTTTCGTCCCTTGATGCTACAGAGGATTTATCTGGTTAATTAATAAAGTTAGTACGCAAAGTAATTAGGTACATGGGCGAAAACAGAAACCAAACAAGATACCATTCTAAACAAAAAACATAGTAAGTTTACGACTAAAAAGTTGATTTAAAAATGAATTCTTCAAATACTGGTGTTTTTTATTACAAATTGTATTTAGGCCATCTTCACATCAAACTACAGTATGAAGAGTATCACTCTAAGGAAGTGTAAGGAGGTTCTGTACGTAAGTTTCGTTAGGCCTACACCTAGCGACACGTGTAGTCTTTGGTGTGCTATTGTTACATCGCCAGAAGTAGTCAGTTCTCACAAGTAACGCAACACCGTGCGCTGAACCACGCTGAACACGCGGTTTGTCAAAGTCAACGGCCGTCACCTTGGGAAGGACAAACTCCGTCTGTGCTTTTCATTTTCTAGACTCTCGCCCGAAATAGTTTTCACATCACTCGAAAATAGGCGTAAAGGGTCGTGAAATTAACGTTTAGATCAAATGCATTGGTGATGGGCGCGATTTGAACCTGGGACCTCGGGGGCTAAGTACCGCATTTTACAACTATACCACCTCGCCAGTGCTGCGGGATAAATACATACAGACACGTTTTTGCTGCGCTTCTGCTATTAAACTATAATTCAATCTTGCTCATACGAAGGCAAGAGTAAACAATCATCTCAAAAAAATATTTATCAGAAATTAAGTTGTTAGCAATATTTATCAAATTATTATGTGAAAGATGTAGCTAAACATTATTAGTACATTCAACTCAACCCAACGCACATCAACGCATACGAAAACGAAATTGCCATCAATATATAGGACAACGACGACAATGTTAATCCTGATATATACATGTGAAAATGTATTCAAACCCCATTCATATCAACGCTAGGGCAAAATAAACAAAACAAAACCTTAATATTTTGACAACACAGTATAACTCTTTACAATTAACCTTGTTTTTTACATTGTCCCGCAACCCTTCTTATAATTCTCGAATAGGTGTAACCTATGACTACAGAGAACTGCCAATAAATTTCTGGAAACTTGGTATTAGGATATATCGGAGCAGGGTCGAGCTCCAACATTGCTTTAAATAACTATTATGTTATTATGTATATTATGTTATGTCTGCTAAAACATAGTAATTTAAGCACTGTACGCAGCGGGGGTATTTTTATAATCACAACTACCCGTATGAGTAATATCTTTAGATACATTTTGATGAAACTTTTCAATTTTTTTAGGTAGCTAAAATATTTAAATATTTACGATAATTTACAATGTTATTGACATGTGAGTGATAGGATTGGGCCGGTGAGGTATTTTTGCGTTGTTCGAGTTCGTGGAACTATAATTCATTCCCATTCATACCAAAACCAGTCTAATTAACAAATATGTATGAAGCGAGTGTTTTCTAACATATACCATGTTATTGACATGTGATAAGATTACACAGGTAAACATTGCGTGATATTTGCAATAACACTAGTGTTAGTGAACCTGTGTGTTGTGTTACCACTCCTCAGTGATGCCACAACATCATTATCATTTCCCTGTCTATTCCCTATGTTGGCACACCTGACAAGGCCTTTATTCGCGATTTTAACAAAAAGATCCGTTGTTCTTTTGTTCGCTTATTTGCACGTCCTCATTCTGGCGAAATTGCTTAATTTTTCCGTTTACTATTTAAATGACTGACCTACTGCGGTGGGCGTTCAGTTTTTAATTTTAAAACGTTTTGTGTTACACAACAATAAACCATGGTGAATCAGACTTACCTAAATGAAGAACACTTCTTAAAGCTTAAAATTTAATTCCTAACTACTTCAAAAGAATAAACAAGAGAATGTAAAAAGCAATTGTTCAGAAGGCATGACAAGAACTTGTTTAACTAAAAATGAAATCTCCAAGTTTTTTATAGTTTATGATTTCTGAAACAGTAATATTTACATGTGTTAACATGATAGAAATTCGGAGCATAATCCAATTTATAAGATCTAAAAAGTGGATAACCAACGATGAATATGTTTATCTTCAGCACATACCACCGTCAAAGTCTCCAAGCGACGACATTGCGTTTCCATGGTTTACATGACCAGAATAGTAAATTTTTAATATATTTACTAAATTATACTAGCTGTGTGGTGTTCTACGGACGGGAATCCTGAAGTCAGTTTAAACCTTCTTATATTCTTTTACATTACTTTTTTACTTTTCAATGAAATGGCGACCATACATTCAAAATAGCAGTTGGATTGCATATTGTGTGCATTTTTCCAGATATAAAATTATGTTATACTTGTATACATTATTTATTACCAAAAAATATTAAGGTAAAATAATTTTTGACGAATCGAAAAAAAACAGTCTAATCTGAAAGTTTATTTTAAATTAATTGATTGTTGACTCATGATTGTACACTAAGCAACTATATTAGATGTAATATAATATGGTGCATTAATTAATCATTATGAAACAACCATACTAGATATTTACCGTAGTACTAAGATTCAGATTTAAATAGAACTTATTTAAATAAATAAATGTTTAGGATATCGAATTTGATGCCAACATCTAGTTGACGGAA